GGCTGCGCAGCAGCCGCAGCAGGCTTGCAAGAGCAGCAGAAGCAGCAGCAACAGCAGCAGCTGCTTGTGCTGCTGCTGCTGCAGCAACGGCAGTTGCTGCTGCAGCAGCTGCTGCTACTGGCTGGAGTGTTCAGGGGCAGTGCAATGGCACCACCCCTGCTGCAGCTGCTGATGTTGCCGCTGCTGCAGCAGCAGCTGCTGCTTTTGCTGCTGCTGCAGTTGCTGCTGCTGGTGCTGCAGGCGGTGCGTGTGTATGTGTGCATGGGCTGGCTGGAGTGTACGTACACCTGGGAACTGCGCGAGAAGCTCGCGAGCTCACTTGTGTCTTCTGGCTTTTGAGTTTATATCATTTAATTCTTGTTAATCCACTTATTTATTTATTTATTTATTTATTTATTTATTTATTTATTTACTATTTAAAAGTCACAAGAGCCAGATAGAAGAGATACAGCAGCAAAAAGCAGCTGCAGCAGCAACAGCAGCAGCAGCAGCAGCAGCAGCAGAGGCGCTGCACGAAGCAAACGCATCTGGGGGCTACATAACGCACTAGGGCACAGGTTGCTGCTGCTTAGCTAGCCAGAACTTCGGCCGTAGCTAGCCACGGCAGCAGCAGCAGCTAGCCACGGCAGCAGCAGCAGCAGCAGCTAGCCACAGTAGCGGCAGCCGCTAGCCACAGCAGCAGCAGCCGCTAGCCACAGCAGCAGCCGCTAACCACAGCAGCAGCCGCAGCTACCTGAAGCTGCAGCCCCAGCTAGCCAAGCTAGCCAAAGGATGGCCCTAGCTAGCTGCAGCCTCGAGCCCTACGTGCTGCTCCGGGCTGCTGCTGCTGCAGTGCTGGCAAGCTGCAGCAACTGGCTAGCCAGAGAGGAGAAGACCAGCAAAATTAGCTGCTGCTGCTGCTGCTTCGGTGTGGCGCTGCTGCTGCGCGCGCTGCAGTGTACGTGTGCGAACACCGCAGCAGCACGGGGGCCCCTCCGCGCAGCCCATTCGCAGCAGCGGCAGCAGCAGCTGCTGCTGCTGCTGCAGCAAGCAGGTGACCCTTAGTAGCAAGTTTCTGGACACAAAGCCAAGGTGTTTCTGCTGCTGCAGCTTGTGCTGCTGCTGCTGCTGCTGCATGCGCTGTCTGCTCCGCCGACCAGGGGCTGCAGCAAACTGCTGCGCAGCGCTTGGGGCCCTGCTGCTGTTTGAGGGGTGTCAGTGAAGAAAAGTGAATTTGTAATCCAGAGTGTTTGCTGCTGCTGCTGCTGCTGCTGCGCTGCGCAGCCTGAGGTGTACGTACACTCGAACCGCCTCTGCCCGCGCTGCTGCTGGTCACCAGCACTGCAGCGCAGCGCCCGCAGCGGCCCCACATAAAGCTGCAGCAGCAGCAAAAGCAGCAGTAAAAGCAGTTCTAACTCACTTGCAGCAGCAGCAGCAGCAGCAGGAAGAAGGCCCGTCGCTCGGCAGCAAGCCGCGCCGAACACCGCAGCAGCAGCAGCAGCAGCACTATCGCTGGGGTGTCCTCTGTGGACTCTTTTCGAGAAGCGGCTCCTGTGGTCTCCGGAGCTGTGGTTTGTGGTCTGAAGCTGCAGACTTAGGGTTTAGGGTTTAGGGTTTAGGGTTTAGGGTTTGGAGGTCGGGGTTGGAGCGCGACTGCTGCAGGCCCGGGAGAGCTGCGTCGATGGCCAGGGCCTGCAGCCTGCAGGGTTGAGGGCTTAGGGTTTAGGGTTTAGGGTTTAGGGTTTAGGGTTTGTGCTGCAGGCTGTATTTGTTTGCGAGTTTTCTGAAAAGCCCCCCCAGCTTTTTCGTGCTGCAGTCCGCGGGGCAGCTGGGCAGCCTCTTAGCAGCAGATAGTCAGCTGTTTGCTGCTGTGCTGCTGGGGGGAGTTCCTTCGCTGCTGCGCTATTTAAATTCTGCTGCTGGCGGTTCTCTGGCTTTGCTGCTGCTCAACAAAACCCTCACTGCTGCGGGGCTGCTGCTGCTCCCCGCTGCAGCAGCCACGGCGCTCCTCGTCGCCAGGTAACTCCAGCAGCAGCAGCAGCAGCAGCAGCAGCAGCAGCGCAGCAGCAGCAGCAGCAGCAGCAGCAGGGTCTGGGTTTTGGGGTGTAGGGTTTAGGGTTTGGGGGAAGGGTTTTCAGCTTAGTGCGTCAGTCGCCCTGCTTCCCTCCGCCAGGTCCCGAGAGGCTAGGGTTTAGGGTTTAGGGTTTAGGGTTTAGGGTCTAGGGTTTGCGTGAAGGCGGCTGAAGCGGCTGCGGCAGGAACGGCAAGCGGCAGAAAGCCGGTGGTCTTCTTTGGTGCTGGACCGGCTGTACGCACACCGCGCGGTGTACGTACACCAGCAGCAGCAGCAGGAAGAAGCTCGTGCTGCTGCTGCAGCGCAGCAGCTGCTGGCAGCAGCAGCAGCAACTGCCAGGGCCAGCGGCTGCCTCATGGGCGCCATTTCCTTTGCTTCCAACTTGTCTCTCCTTCTTGTCCTCTACTCGGGGGCCACTCTCTTGAGAAACAAAACCGTAAGCTGCTGCTGCGGCTGCTGCTGCTGCTGCTGCTGCTGCTGCTGCAGGCAGCTCAGCGTCTTTTTTGTCGCTTTTTGTCTCTTTTTCTCCTTTAGTCTCTTTTCTTTCCTGTTTGTTCCTTTTTGCTTCCTCGTTTATCTTTTATTTTCTCTTTTTGTCTTTTTCTTTTTTTTGTCTTTTTATTTTTCTCTTTATTATTTCCTTTTGTCTTGCTGCTGCTGCAGCGTCTGCAGCAGAAAAGAGACTGTCTGGTTTTTTGTTTCTTTTTGTCTCTGAGATTATCTGTCTCTTTTCTTCGCTTCTTTTCCTTTCATTTATTTTCCTTTTTATCTCTTTTATCTGTCTCCAGTGTCGCCTGCTGCTGCTGCTGCTGCTGCTGTTGCTGCTGCTGCTGCAGCAGCAGCAGCTGCGGTGCGTCTGCTGCTGCTGAAGTCACGTGGCTTTGTGTGTTTCTCTTTCACCGGCACTATTAGCTCTTTAGTTGCATTTCCGGGGGATGAGAAGCAGCAGCAAAGCTGCTGCTGCAGCAGCGCTGCTGCTGCAGCAGAAAGTAAAAGAAAATAAAAGTTGACTTTTGCTGCTGCAGCTGAGCTACGGGGGCCTCACTTCCTTCGTAGTTTACGCAGCAATGGTTGCTGCTGGCGCCAGCGGCTTGGCTTCGCTTTCTGGGGAGTGGGCGAAGGGGCGTGCTGCAGCAGAAAGAATGTTTGCTGCTATCCAGCCCTCGCTGCAGCAGCAGCAGCAGCAGCAGCAGGGGGGGTTCTCTGTCGAGCGGCTCAGGGGCGAAATCGAGTTCCACAACGTCACGTATCTGTACAGCGAGGACGTGGCTAGCAGCAGCAGCAGCGAGGACAGCAGCAGCAGCAGCGAGGACAGCAGCAGCAGCAGCCCGGGGAGCAGCAGCAGCAGCGAGGACAGCAGCAGCAGCAGCCCGGGGAGCAGCAGCAGCAGCGACAGCAGCAGCAAAAGCGAAGGCGCGGGCGGCGTGCGCAGCATTTCCTTTCGAGTCCGCCCCGGAGAGCTGCTGGGCATTGCGGGGCCCTCGGGCGCGGGCAAAAGCACTTTGCTGAAGTTGCTGCTGAAGGAACTCAGGCCCCAGAAGGGGCGCATCACCGTCGACGGTCTGCTGCTGCTGCTGCTGCTGCTGCTGCTGCTGCTGCTGCTGATGGTGATGGTAATGGTGGTGTTTGTGGGGCTGGTGGTGGTGGTGGTGGTGCTGCTGCTGCTGCTGCTGCTGCTGATGGTGATGGTGGTGTTTGTGGTGCTGCTGCTGCTGGTGCTGCTTGTGGTGCTTATGATGGCTGTGTGATGATGATGCTGGTAGTGCTGCTCCTTGTGCTGCTGCTGCTGCTGCTTGAGCTGCTGCTGCTGCTTCTGCTGCTGCTGCTGGGCTGGCCGCTGGGAGCTGTTGACGCTTTGTGCACGTCCACTACAACAACAGTCGTGCGTCGCCGCTCGAAGCAGCAGATGGCGCTAGCTGCTGCTGCTGCTGCTGCTGCTGCTGCTGCTGCAGGGATCGACCTGGAGACGATCCCCACATCAATTTGGCTGCGGCATGTACTGGGCGTGGTCAGCGACAGCAGCAGCAAATTATTTGGGGGCTTGACAGTGAAGGAGAACATTCAGTACGCAGGCTGGAGTGCTGCTGCTGCTGCAGACGCGGGCGCAGCAGCAGCAGCAGAAGCAGCAGCAGCAGCAGCGAACTGCTCGGGCTTCCTGCAGCGGCTGCCTCACGGGCTCGACACCGTCGTCGGGGAGGGCCCCGGGGCCCCCGGGGGGCCCCCGGGGGCCCCCGGGGGCCCCGGCTTCAGCAGCGGGGAGCAGCAGCGGCTGGGGATTGCCAGGGCCCTTTACAAGCAGCCGCGCATTTTGCTGCTGGATGAACCCTCAAGTGCTTTAGATGCTGAGGCTGAGCGGGCATTCACGGAGGCCCTGGCCAACGTCATGCAGCCGCAGCAGCAGCAGCAGCCGCAGCAGCAGCAGCAGCAGCAGGCGAAGGAGGCGGCGGCGGAGGACGCGCCCGAGCAGCAGCAGCAGCAGCAGCAGCAGGTGCTGTGCGCGCTGCTGGTCGCCCACAGCCCCGCCGTGCTGCAGCGCGCCTCGAGGCTGCTGGTGCTGCGGCGAGGCGCTGTTGTGGAGTCGGGGGTTTACGAGGAGCTGCTGCAGCAAAAAGGCACGCTGCATGCGCTGCTCACCGGAGACTCCAAACCCTAAACCCTAAACCCTAAGTAAGGCCTAGACCGCGGCGCGCCTCGCTGCGGCTGCTGGGCCTGGCGAGAGACTGTCGCCCGTTCAGAAACTTCAGCAGCAGAGACCTAACTAACAGCACTTGCTACTGCTGCTGCTGCTGCAGCAGCAGCAGCTGTTGCTATTTTCGCAGTTGCGGAAACAAACGTTGACTTGGTCGGTGAAAACCCCGCACCAGCCTCTTTGGCTTAGCTAGCTAGCCAGTTAGCTAGCTAGCCTGCTGCCAGCTAGCTGCTAGCTAGCTAGCTAGCTGACTAGCTAGCCGGCAAGCTAGCCAGCCATCGCGGAGCTGCGCCTGGTGGCTGCAGCAGCTTGCTGCCGCCGGCTGCTGCTGCAGCTCGGGCGGCGCCGCTGCGTCTACTTTTGCTGTTCGTTAAAAAGAGCAAAACGCAAAACGAGCGTGTCACATTGCTGCGCTTGCAGCAGCTGCTGCAGCAGCAGCAGCCGCAGCAGCAGCAGAAGCGCGTGCGGTTGCTTTGCTTGCAGCACTGCTTGAACTGCTGTTTGAATAAACATATGGCACGGAAGAGTCTTCTGCTGTTTCTGTTGCTCCCGCTGCAGCGCGCCGCTGCTGCTCGCGCTCCTCGCTGCTGCTGCTTCAGCTGCTGCTGCTGCTGCTGCTGCTGCGTTAGCCAGAGTCGCGGGTGTAGGCGAACAGCTGTACGTCAATGCCCGAGTTGCTGAAGCGGCTGATGGACTTCCAGGGCAACAGCGCCTTCGCCCTGAAGGCCCGGCTGGCTGCAGCAAGCGCAGCAGCAGCCCCAAACCCCACAGCCCCACAGTGCATGCATGCATGCGTTTGCTGCATGCGTGCATGCATGTGTTTGCTGCATGCATGCATGCACGCGTTTGCTGCATGCATGCGTGCAGCAAGTGCATGCGTGCAAGGGGCACGTGCATGCATGCAAGCAGCAAGTGCATGCAGGCGTGCAGTAAATGCATGCAGGCATGCAGCAAATGCATGCAGGCTCGCAGCAAATGCATGCAGACATGCAGCAAATGAATGCAGGTGTGCAGCACAAGCATGAATGCATGCATCTGCAGCGGATGCATGCATGCAGAGAGACAGGTGCAGAGAGGAGGCAAGCAGCTACAAAGCAGCAGCAAAGCAGCAGCAAAGCAGCAACCTGCAGCAGCAAAGGAGTCAAAGAGCCGCAGACTGCGCAAAAGGAAAGCAGCAGAAGAGCAACAGCAGCGAGGGATCAGCAGAAGAGCAGCAGCAGGGAAACAGCAGCAGCAGCAGCGCAGCAGCAGCAGAGGAGGCTGCTGAGGCTCACGGGCAAGGAGAAAGGCCGCAGAGATGTTGCTGCTGCTGCTGATTTGGGCTTCGAGTCTTTTAAAGCTGCTGCTGCCCTTTTGCTGCTGCGGGCTGCGGAGGCCGTAGGGCGCATTCAGCAGCAGCACAGAGCCGCAGGGCAGAAGCCGCAGCACCTGAGGCCGCAACCCTAAACCCTAAACCCTAAACCCTACACCCTAAACCGTAGGTGAGGCAGCTGGAGCCACGAACCCTAAACTCCAGGACCGCCGAAGCAGCTCGGGAAGCAGCAGCAGCGCCTGTGGCGGGAGAGCAGCAGCAGCAGCAGCAGCAGCAAAGGGGGGCAGCAGCAAGCAGCAGCAAGCAGCAGCTGCAGCAGCTGCAGCAGCAGGCAGCAGCTGCAGCACGGCTTCTACAGTGCACTCGCGTTCAAGCAGCAAAATGAAAGCATTTGCTGCTGCTTCCAGACAAACCCCACACATCGCCACAGACAAGTAGAACAGCAAACAGCTGCAGTCGTCTGTGTAGGGTTTGGGGTTTAGGGTTTAGGGTTTAGGGTTTGGGGAGCCTACAGATTCGAAGTCTGAATGCATCAAAGTCAAAGAACAGGGCAGCGCAGGCGCTGCAGCAGCAGAGACACCGCAAGTCGGGGTGTACGTAAAGCTCGGCTCAGCAGCGGGGAAAATGCATAAACCCGCAAGCAGCAGCAGCAGCAGCTGCTGCTGCTGCTGTTTCTGCTGCAGCAGCACCAGCTAGACTCATCACATGCATGTCGCTGCACTGCTGCTGCTGCTGCTGCTTCTGCTGGTGTTGCTGCTGCTGCTGCTGCGCCTTTTTACCTTCCTCTTTTGCTGTAGCAGGTCTTGCAGACCTCACACGAAACGCCTCTGCGTTCAGCAGTGCACTCTAAAAAAAGCAAACACAGCAGCAGCTGCTTCTGCTGCTGCTGCTGCTGCTGCTGCTGCTGCCACTGTGTTTGCTGCTGCTATTGATACAGTACCACTACTGCGGCGTTTGCTACTGCTGCTGCTGCTGCTGCTGCTGCCACGGGCTTGTCTGACCTCAATTTGGTCTTTGTCGCTGTCGCAGCCGAGCAGCCGCAGGCCCTGGATATTCGGGTGGGGCCTGCAGCAGCAGAGGAAACAACAGCAGCAGCAACGACAGCAGCAGCAGCGGTAACAGCCCGCACAGAAGATTGCGCATTTACTTGCCAGATTGGCCTGCATAGGGCATACGTCTAAATGCATCCTTATGCTCTAAGCTTCAAACCCTAAACCCTCAACCCTAAACCCTAAACCCTAAACCCTAAACCCTCCATCCTATAAAACAGTCCCTGCAACCCTAGACCCGCGTGTCCCATAAGACATCCTTAGAGCTCCACTGTCTGCATAAGGGATAGCCGCTTGGGGTTTAGGGTTTAGGGTTTAGTGTCTAGGGTTTAGGGTTTCGTGTTCAGGGTTTAGGGTTTAAGGTCTACAGGATGTCCAGGCAGTCCAGGAAAGACTCGAAGCGCAGCATTGAGTGACGGGGGAACTGCGCCACAAAGGAAGCAAGCAGCAAGGGCCGCGAAGTATATGGCTAGCTAGCTAGCTAGCTAGCTAGCTGGCTAGCAAACTAGCTAGCTGGCTAGCTAGCTAGCTGACTAGCTCGCTGACCAGATCCTCAACTAGCTAGCTGGCCAGCTAGCTGATTAGCTAGTAAGCGCGAGCTAGCTAGCTGGCTCGTCGACCAGCTAGCTGGCTCGTTAGCAAGCTGGCTAGCTGGCCAGCTAGCCTACTGGCTAGCTACGTAGTTCTCTAGCTAGCCAGCTAGCTAGCTAGCTCGCCGAATAGCTAGCTGCCTAGCTGCATAGCTAGCTGGCTGGCCAGGTGGCTAATTCGCTAGCGAGGGGGCTAGTTAGCTGGCCAGCTAGCTAGCTGGCTAGGTGGCTAGTTAGCTGGCTAGCTAGCTAGATGGCTACCTAGTTAGCTAGCCAGCTAGCTAGGTAGCCAGCTAGCTAGCTAGCTGGCTAGCTAGCTCACTCTGAAGAAAGGGAAGCTCCTGCGGGGGCTGCTGGGAAGAACGCCAGCAGCAATTGCCATCAGCTCCAGCAAAAGGCTGCCGCTGCCGCACATGGGGTCCAGCACGGTGAGGCTGCGCCAGCAGCAGCAAGCCAAACCCTAAACCCTAAACCCTAAACCCTGGCTCTCGGCCCTGGATTCCCGGCCTTAAACCCTTTTATTTGAAGCCCCCATTATGTGCGGCGGGGCCTCGAGGGGCCCGCAGAAGACGCCGCAGCAGCAGAAGTCGAAACCCTAAACCCTAAACCCTAAATCCTAAACCCACCTCTCCCGGCGGCTCAGCAAATTGAGTATGGGAGACAAAAACACAACAGCAGCAGCAAGTGTTTCTCGCAAAGGTGCTGCGCCTTGCCGCACGCGCCAGGGGCGGGGCGTCAGGGGCCCCGAAGCAGCTACGCTCACCTGCAGCAGCAGCAGCAGCAGCAGCAGCAGCAGCGGAAGCTAGGCCACATGTAGCGTCTGTGATGGCGACGGCCTCGCAGCAGACGGAGGCAGGCAGCAAAATGGAAGTGCTGCAGCAGCAGTGTTAGCAGGAAGAGAAGCACCGAGTTTATAAGCAGCTAAGCAGCAGCAGCAACAACAACAGGAGCAGCAGCAACAGCAGCAGCAGGGCTTACGGAGCACATGTTGTGGCGAAGAAGGACGTGGAGCTTTGGAGGCCCAAGGCCAGCTGCAGCAAACCAAGCATGCAACAGCAGCAGCAGCAGCAACAGCAGCAGCAGCAAATCGAAGCAAAAATCAGAAAGCGAGAACATTGCATCAAACAAGACTAAGAAAAAAGCGAAGGGACGCAGCAGCACGAGGCGCTGGCAGCAAAGAGCTGCTGCTTCGCAGCTTGCTGCTGCGCAGCAGCAGCATGTTGCTGCAGCTGCAAACGCAACAGCAGCAGCAGCAACACAACCCAGCAGCAGCACAGCAGCAGCAGCGGCGGCACAAGGTCAGCGGCAACAGCAGCAGCAGCAGCAGCGGCAACAGCAACGGCAGCAGTAGCAACTGCGGACTTGCTCGCTTTGTCATGCTGCTAGGCAAAGTGTCTGGCAGCAGCTGCTGCTGCAGCAGCTGCTGCTGCTGCTGCGTACTGAGATTTTTGGTTCCTCGAAGACAGCAGATATCGGCAGGAACTTTTCCCTGTTAACAGCAGCAGCAACATGCAGTAGCACATTGCTGCATCTGGCGGCCTCGAAAAGCTAGCGGTCGCGGCAGCAGCAAAGGAAGCAGCAGCTGCAGCAGCAGCAGCAGCAGCGCGGTGCGCCTGCTGCCTCAAAGGCCCACCAAGGCAGAGCTGCTGCACCTCGCAAGAGTTCCTTCTCCCACCTGAGCAGCAGCAGCAGCAACAGCGACAAAGCTGCTGCTGCACGCGCCGCGCTGCCACCGCTGCAGCAGCAGCAGTAGCAGCAGCAGCAGCTGCTGCAGCAGCAGCTGCAGCGGCGTCAGCAACAGCAGCAACAGCAGCAGCCCAGCTTACCTAGCGGGAAAAGGCTCCCCCACAGCAACACGAACTTCCTCGGAGATTCGACTGCAGCAGCAAAACGTTCCACCGGCTGCTGCTGCTACACCTCAATGTGACTGGCAGCAGCAGCAGCAACAGCAGCAGCAACAGCAGCGGCAGCAACGGCAGCAGCAGCAGCAGCAGCGACGGAGCAACACCCGGTTGTGCTAACAGGAGCAGCAACAGCAGCAGCCTCAGCAGCAGCAGCAGCAGCAGCTACCTGCGCAGCGCTATGTTCCACAGCAGCTCAGGGGGTCCTTTTACTGCAACTCCTCCTTCTTGAACATCTACAGACAAGAGAGATGAAGCTGCTGCGGCTGCTTCTGCTGCAGATGCTGCAGCGACTGCAGCAGCTGCGTCTCCTTTTTCTGCTGCAGCAGCAGCAGCAGCAAGGTGGGGCTCAGGAGAAAGCAGCAGCAGCTGCAGCTCGCGAGCCAACAAACTCTCAAGTCCAGGAGCGCAAATGCAAAACATGTCTAAGGCGCGCGGGTCTGTTTCTGCTGCTGCTTCTGCTGCTGCTGCTGCAGCAGACATCACTGCAGCAGCTTGCGCGCGGCTGCTGCTGCAGCGGCGCTGCTGTGCCTGCTGCGGCTGCAGCTGCGGCGGCTGCAGGAGCTGCGCCGTCGCCACACTTCCGCATGCAGGCGTCCTGCTGCTGCTGCTGCTGCTGCGGAGGCTGTGGAAGCTGCGGGGAGAGAGGCCTCTCAAAGCTGCTGCTGCAGCTGGTGCTGCTCCTGCAGCAGCAGCACAGCAGCGGCAGACGCAGCAGCACAGCAACGGCAGTTGCAGAAGCTGCAGCCAAGTGGGGCCAGAGGGAGGCGAGCAGCAGCAGCAGCAACTACAGCAGCAGCAGAAGCAGAGCTTGTAGCTGCAGCAGCAAGTCCTCAATGCAGCAGAGGCGTACCTGCTGCGCCTCTGAAGGAAGTCTTCGCAACTGCTGCTGCAGCACGCGCTGCAGCAGCAGCAGCAGCAGCGCGTGGCGCTGTCTCCCCTCCACTTGCTGTTGCTGTTGTTTCTACTGCTGCTGCTGCAGCTGTTGCTGCACGAGCTTCTGCTACACGGGCTGCTGCAATTGCTGCCAAGCAGCAGCAGCGGCGCTGCTGCACGGGCAGCAGCAGCTGCCGCAGCGCAACTGCCATTGTAGGAGACCCCTGGAGGCCCCCTTGGCTGCAAACCCCAAAACCTAAACCCTAAACCCTAGGACCCTTGACAAACCGTAAACCCTAAACCCTAAACAGGAGGTTTGCAGCGAGGCTGCCTGGAGGGACTGATTTGAGGAACGAAAATGAGGAGTCTCATGTCAAGCGCCCAGGGTTTAGGGGTTGTGATCTAGGGTTTAGGGTTTAGGGCTTAGGGTTTATGGTTTAGGGTTTAGGGTTTCAGGCAGGTGCTGCATGCTCATCGATTTGCCCGCCGGCGCAGTAGAGCCAGAGCCTTCTTTGCTAGTCCGCCGGGGTCGAAGTTGCTAAAATGGAAACAGTAGGGTTTAGAGTTTAGAAATTAGGGTTTAGGGTTTAGGGTTTAGGGTTTATGGTCTAGGGTTTGGGGTGTAAGCGTTGCAGCGCCGACAGCTCGAGACACCCAAAGTGGCGCTGTCGGCGGTCCCCGGGGGTCGGTTCCCCTGCCTACGGTTTAGTGATTAGGGATTAGGGTTTAGGGTTTAGGGTTTTAGGGCTTGGGGTTTAGGATTTACCTCTCTGTTCACTTTCCCGTTAAGGACTGCAGAGAGGGCTTGCGGCCGTTTCAAGCATGGGCTCCGCAGCAGCAGGAGCAGCAGCAGCAACAACAGCAGTAGCAGCAGTAGCATGCCTAGGGGCGACTTTTTACAATGAATTTGCTGCGCAATGCCAGAGCTGCTGCGGCAGCTGCAGCGGCTGCAGCAGCTGCGGCAAATGCAGCGGCTCCTGCTGATGCAGCAGTTGCAGCAACTGCAGCAGCTACTGCCGCTGCAGCAGAGACGAAGCTGGAAGCATCTGCAGGTGGCAGCGCAGCAGCAGCGGCAGAAGCAGCAGCACCAGCAGCTGCAGCAGCAGCACAAGCAGCGGGAGCGGGAGCAGCAAAACTGCGCAGCGCTGCATGTGTGGCCTTAGAGCAGCCGCAGAATAGTGGCTTAGTGACCCAGCAGCAGCAGCACCAGCAGGAGCAGCAGCCACAGCAACTGCAGCAGCAGCAGCAGCATCGAGGTGTCCTCCGTATTGACCTGGAGAGCCGAAGGGGGCAGCAGCTCATCCGTTCAGTGGGTGCTCTCATGCTTCACAGAAAGCAGCAGCAGCAACAGCAACAGCAGCAGCAACAGCAACAGCAGAAGCAACAGCAGCAGCAACGGCAGCAGCAACGGCAGCAGCAACAGCTGCTGCTGCAGCGCGATGGAGACCCCCAGCAGCAAGTACCCCATAGGATGAGGTGGCGCGCAGCTGTGCCCTGTGGGCGGCTCTCAACAACAATAAGGGCAGCAGCAGCTGCTGCTGCTGCTCCTGCTGCTGCTGCTGCTGCTGCGCAGAGCAAAGCAGCAGACTCGCCAGCAGCTGTTGCTGCTGCAGCACCGACCTCGCCAGCAGCAGCATTTGCTGCTGCGATGCCCACGAGCCTCCCGCTGCAGGCAGTGGCTGAGGTGAAGAGGCACTCTGCTGCTGTGTTGCGTTTGCTGCTGCAGCAGCAGCAACAAATGAGCCCTGCTGCAGCTGCTGCTGCTAAAGGCGCCTCGGAGCTGCCCCGTTTCCCCCTATTGGCAGAATTTTTGCACGACGTAGCAGCAGCCGAGCAGCAGCTGCAGCAGCAGCAGCAGCAGCAACGCTCAAGTATCGCCGCCACGAGGCGGCAGAACCGTTTGCTGCAGCTGCAGCAGCAGCTGGAGATGCACCGCAGCAAGTTCTTCGAGCTGCAGCAGAGAAGAGACCTTGAAGGGCTTAAAGCAGCAGCAACAGCAGCAGCAGCAACAGCAACAGGGAGCAGCAGCAACTGCAAGTTGCTGCCGCGGCCTATCTGTTTGCTGCTGCAGGAGCTGCTGCAGCGCGCAGCACCGAGAGCCTCACTGGCTGACATCGAGCAGCTGCTGCAGCTCTATGTGACCAGTGGTCAGCAGCGCATGCTGCAGGCAGCAAGCAGCAGCAGCAGCAGCAGCAGCAAAAAACGCCTGCTAGAGGCAGGGCAAGACACTGCGTGGCTCCACGATGTGTTTAGGCCAGACTTGCTGCTGCTGCTGCTCCGGGCGGCGCAGCGCCGCCTGCAGCAGCAGCAGCAGCAGAAGCAGCAGCGAAAGCAGCAGCAGCTGTCAAGGCCCAGCACTCCGCACGCTAAGCAGAGTGCTGCGCGCGTCGCGCAGCTGGCAGAAGCAGCAGCGCAGATATGCGGGGGTGCTGCAGCAGCAGCAGCAGCAACGGGAGCAGCAGCTGATCCCAAGACCCCAACAGCCGCCATAGAAGCAGCAGCAGCCCAGCAAGCAGAAGCAACAGCTGCAGCAGCGGCACCGAAAGCAGAAGCAACAGCTGCAGCAGCAGCACCGCAAGCAGCAGCAGCATCTGCTGCACCACCCGAAGTAGCAGCAGCAGCAGCAGCAGCAGCAGCAGAGTTGTCCAGGTTGGCAGCACTTTGTGGCGCAGCTGCACCAGCAGCAGCAGGACCCTTCGCGCTGGACACATCTGCAGCAGCAACAGCGGTAGCAGCAGCAGCAACAGCAGCAGCAGCAGCACCAGCAGCAGATAGCCGTAAAGCTGGGGGCTTCTGCAGCACGCGCCTTGGGCGCCGCACGCTGCGGCGCTGCTGGAGCCTTGTGCTGCTGATGCAGCAGCTGCAACGGGAGCAGCAGCAGCAGCAGCAGCATGCACTCATTCCGCGTCTGTCTACCCTGCAGCAGCAGCTGCTGCTGCTGCAGCGAACTGGCGACGCTGTGAAGGTGCAGGTTAATCTCTCGGAGTTGCCGCTGCCGCGGCAGCTGAAGTTAACAGCAGACCTTATCTGCGTGCTGCTGCGGCAGCTGCAGCAGCAGCGGAAGCAGCTGCTGCTCCAGCAGCAGCAACAGCCGCTGCTGCTACAGAAAGAGCAGCAACAGCAGCAGCAACCAGAGGGGCTCGCGCCGCAGGGGCAGGAGCATGTGCCGCATCAAACCAAGGAACTGCAGCTGCTGCAGAAACAGCAGCAGCAGCAGTTCCAGATCGAGCTGCAGCTGCTGCTGCTCTCTGCCGAGGTGCTGCTGCTGAAGTTGCGGCAGAAAAGCGGCAGCAGCAGCAGCCCAAACACCAGCAGCAGCAGCAGCAGCAGCTCTTCCTCGCGGCGGCACCTTGTCCGCTGCATCTGCGCTTTAGCTCGCCTACAGCGTGTTGCAGTGCAGCAGCAGCCGCAGCAGCAGCCACAGCAGCAGCACTTCACTGCAGCAGCTGCAGCAGCAGCAACAATTGTGGGCCCCCTCAGCCTCCTGCTGCTTCAGCAGCTGCTGCCGCAGCATATCTTGTCCTTGTCTTTGTGGGATTTTCTGCGGTTGTTTGCTGCAGTGGCGGAGCTGCTCCCGCTGCTGCTGCACCTAACGCAGGACGCCCGCACAGACGCCTTGGCTGTTGCTGCTCCTGCTGCTGCTGCTGCTGCTGCTGCACCAGCGGCCGGCCTAGGTGCGGCTCACTTTGTGCTGCACAAGCACCTCAGCAAGCTGCAGCAAACAGCAGCAGCTCTTCTGCAGCAGCCGCTGCCCTCAGAGCCTCTCTTGCCTGCTGCTGCAGTACCCATCCTAGCGAAGGAAGCAAGGAAGATCCAGCAGCAGCTGCAGCACCAGGGGCTGCTGCTGCAGCAGCAGCAGCAGCCACATGAAGAAGCAGAACTGTCGCGTGCAGCTCGAAGGGCCCTACCGGATCTGCCCTTAGGTAGCTGCCCGCCTCATTTGCTTTGTGCTGCTGACGTTGCTGCTCTGGCAGCTACATACGAAAGCCTTGCTGCTGCTGCTGCTGCTGCAGCAAGCGGAAACACTTAAGTTTTTCTGTGCCTGCACTAAACCGGGCCCAGCGGGCCTTCCCGTCCCTCAGCTTTGCGTCTACATTCAGCAGCAGCAGCAGCAGCAGCAGCAGCAGCAGCGAGAGTAGCAGCAAAGAGAATAGCAGCAGCTGTTGCAAGCGTAGCAGCGAGAAGAGTAGCAGCGATAAAACCAGCAGCAAAGCCAACACTAGAGCAGCGACGGCAGTAGGAGCAGCAGCAGTAGCAGCAACAGCAAGCGCATTAGCTTTTTGGCGGCCGCCTCTTTTTGTCTCTGAAGCAGCAAGCGTCTTTGCCTCCCAAAGCTACAGAGGCAGCAAACTAGAAAACTAGTTCAGCAGCAGCAGCTGCTGCAGCACATTGCAGGGGTTCGGAACAGCGCAGCAGCAGCAGCGCTGCAGCCAAAACGTGGCGCTGCTCCTGCTGGAGCCACAGCTGTACAGGCTGCTCCTGCTGCCGCTGCTGCTGCTGCTGCTGCTGCTGCTGCTGCTAGGGTTCTATGACCTTCCTGGCAGCAAAAAGGGCCTCGAGGGCTTCCTCGTCGATGCGCTGGGCAAGGCCCTTTCCCTTGCGTTCTAGCGAGAGCCGTACGGACTCTGCTGCCTGCAGCAGCAGCAGCAGCAACAGCAGCAGCACCAGCAGCACAAGCGGCACGAAGCTTGCGGACAGCACCGTGGCACAGACGGAAAAGCAGGAGCAGCTGCAGCCGCAGCAGCAGCAGCAGCAAGAGTCTCAGCAGCCTGCGGTGGCTCTTGTCTCTCTCCATCTCTGCTGCAGCTATGAGGTGCAGCAAACGCTGTTGCTTCTGTTTCTCTCCCTTTTGTCTCCCAAGACACCTCAGCAGCAGCTGCTGCTCAGCAGCTGCTCCTGAAGTGTCTTGCGAGCGCTGAGGTGTACGTACAGTTGCAGCAGCAGCAAGAGCCGCGTTCCGCTGGGCCTGGGGGCGGCGCCTGTCACAGCAGCAGCAGCAGCAACAGCAGCAGCAAACGAGGCAGCTCCATGAGCGGAGATAAGAGGAAAAAGGGATAGATTTTATTTTAAAAGAAAAATAAAAAGTCGGGGACGCAAAAAGACAAACCTCTTGTTCTGGTTTTGCTGCTGCTCCCTCTCCTTCTGCTTCCGCTGACGCAGCCGCCGATGCACTTCGGGCATTATGTCGCGGGTCAAGTCATCCCTGGCAGCAGCAGCAGCAGCAGCAGCACCAGAAACAGCAACAGCAGCAGCAGCGGTGGCAGCAGCAAGGAGGAAGCGTGGGGCAGAGTCGGTAAACAGGTTACAGCAGAACCCGCCCTCTGCTGCGTTAATCCAGCAGCAGGGAAGCAGCAGCAGCAGCAGCAGAAAAGCAGCAACAGCAACAAAGCAGCAACAGCAACTGCAGCGTTACCGCAGCAGCAGCAGCAGAACAGCGACGGCAGCAACAAAATAGCGGCAGCAGCAGCAAAACGGAAGAAGCAGCAACGAAATAGCAAAAGCAGCAGCGAACCAGCAAAGGCACCAGCAAAGCAGCAACATCAGCAGCCAACCAGCAGCAGCAGCAGCAGCAGCAGCAGCAAGAGGTGCTGCAGCAGGTGGGTTACCAAATGAGGGCCTTTGCCTCTCTCTCGTGTTCATTCAGCAGCATGTCTTCGAGCCCATCTTCTGACTCCGCCGGGTCTTCCTCTTCCAACCCTTCTGCTGCTTCCCCTGCTGCTGCTGCTGCTTCTGCTGCTGCTGCTGCTGCTGGTCCAGAGGCCCCCGCCCGCCCCTCACCGCTGCTAGCTGCTGCTGGCAGGCCTTGTGTCTCTGTGGGCAGCAGCAGCTCGTCAGCTCTAGCCTGCGCACATACTGCAGGAACGTAACCTGTAGTTTCTGCAGCAGCAGCAGCAGCAGCAGGGACTAGTCGCTGCAGCAGCTATCACGAGATACAGCAGCGGCAACAGAGGCAGAAGCAGCTACTGCAATGCAGCCTTTTGAGCATTTGCGGACTCCGCTGCAACTGTAGTATCTACCAGCAGCTGCAGCAGCACCCGTTGCTGCTGCTAATGCTGCTGCTGCTGCTCAAGCAGGGCATCCTACCCTAACAGATCTGAGGAGGTCTGCTAGAGGGTCTCCGCCTTCTGCTGCTTGCAGTGCTTCCTCCCCGTCTGGTTCTGCTGCTGCTGCTGCTGCTGCGTCTGCCTCTGCGTGTCCTGCTGCAGGTCTGCCATCTGTGCTCTCTGCTGCGGGGGTCTCTGTTGTTGCTGCTGCTGCGTCTCCTGCTGCGGGTGCTGCTGCACCTGCTGCTGCGTCTGCTGCTGCAGCAGGAGAGGCACTAATGGTCTCCACGATCCAACCCGCCACGGATAAAATGTCGCCCGAGGAGGGTTGCTGCAGCAAGCAGCAGCAAGCAGCAGCAGCTGCTGCTGCAGCAAGGAGCAGCAAGTAGCAGTACGCAGGAACACGCAGCGGCAAGCAGCAGCACGCAGCAGCAAGCAGCAACGACAGCAGCAACAGCAACAGCAGCAGCAGTAGAGGTCCATGTGCCAAACGGAGCAGCAGCAGCAAAAAGAAGAAACAGCAGCAGGAACGAACGAACGCCAAAGGAAATGGAAAAAGGAGAGGAAAAGAAATATAAAAGATTAATGAAATAAGAAAATGAAAGAAGATAATTATCTCACCTCATTGCACAAGGCATCGCTGCTGCTGCACACCCGCTGCTGCTCATCGCCTGCTGCCTCTTTTTGGCCCTCGCGTTCTGCTGCTGCTGCAGCTTGGGGGGCCCCTGGGGCCCCTGAGCCCGTATTTGCAGCAGCAGCAGCAGCAGCAGAGGGCCCCCCGTGGTCTCCACTTGCTGCTTCTGCAGCGGGTTCCCCAGCGACTGCAGGCTCTGCTGCTGCTGCTGCTGAGGGATCTGCTGCTGCGGCAGAATCTGCTGCTGCTGCTGCAGCCAGAAAGATGCAGCGCAGCAACACAGCACACACCAAATGGCCTAAGGGGCGCACCTGAGTTTTAGGCAGCAGCAGAAGTGAGAGGAGGCAAAAGAAGAAAAGAAAATAAAAAGAAAACAAAAGGAAATTAAAAAACAAAATAGAAGTGAAGCAAGCAGACAGCGCAGGGGAAGCATAGCAGCGCAAAACGTCCACGAGGCACCAGCAGCAGCAACAACAGCGCACAAGCAGCAGCAGCAGCAGCAGCAGCAGCAGCAAAAGCAGCGTACCTACAGGCCCGTCTTCGAGACTAAGTGTCTTCTTGCCTGCAGCAAATGCAGAAGCAGAGAAGTGCAGCAGCAGAAGTGCGCGGCTGAAGTGTCCGTACAGCTCAGGCCCCGCGCGTGGGTCTTGTCTCACCGTCCTGCAGCAGCTGCTGCTGCTGCTGCTGCTGCGGCTGCTGCCTCTTCTTGGTGAGGCGGCAGGGGGGCAGCGGCAGCGCTGGCAGCTGCAGCAAATCCGTCTCCCCCAAAGCTGCTGCTGGCAGCTGCGCCACTGCAGTCCGCCTAAACTCATACAGCCTTTTGGAAAGTGTGGGGCAGGAGATTCGCACAGCCTGCAGCAACAGCAGACGCAAAATGCTGCAGCTGGAGGCAACACACGAGGGACATGCAGCAGCAGCAGCAGCAGCAGCAGCGCGGCAGCAGCAGCAATAGCAGCGGCACAGCAGCAGCAGCAGCAACAGCAACAGCAGCAGCAGCAGCACAGCAGCAGCAACAGCAGCAGCAATAGCAGCAGCAATAGCAGCAGCAACAGCAGCAGCAGCAGCAGCAGAAGCAAAAACCCACTACTGCCACGTCTTCTGCGTCAATCTGTATGTCGTGGTAGCGAGCAGCAATCAGCAGCGCCGCCCCACAGAGGCCCATAGGTCTCCTTCCTGTAGCGATCCAGTCCCTCTTCATTGCCTGCAGCAGCAGCAGCAGCAGGAGCAGCGGCAGCAGCAGCAGCATTGCGACGGCCGCCCGCACTCTGACCCGCAGCCGCAGCCTCCGAATACCCCACAGCCGCAGCAGCAAGCAGCAACCCCGGCACGAGCAGCAGCAGCAGTCCCCTCTGCGCCTCCAACAGCATCCGCCGCAGCAGCCACATCACCCTCCAGTGCAGCAGCAGCAGCAGCAGCAGCAGCAGCAGCAGCAGCAGCAGCCTGACCTGCACGAGCCTGACTGCGGTGTGAGCGACAGTTTGCGTTTTGCTTCCCAAGTTCAGCTGCAGCGCGAAACGCTCTATGAAGAGAGAGGGGTCGATATGAGGAACTTGCACGTGGAGGACCCGCAGCAGCTTCAGGAACATCTGCAGCAGCAGCAGCAGCAGCAGCAGCAGCAGCAGTAGCATTAGCGGACTCAAAGCCGCAAGCTTGCTAGAGCAGCAGCACACTCAAAGCCGCACGCTAGCTGCAGCTGCAGCAGAAGCAGCAGCACTCACAGCCGCAGTCTAGCTGCGGCAGCAGCAGAGCAGCAGCCAGGCAGCAGCAGAGCAGCAGCACCAAGAGAACCACAGTAGAGCAGCAGCAGCAGAGCAGCACCGACAGCAGCACAGCATGCCGTGCTGCTGCAGCAGCGGAGCGCTTCTGCTGCTGCTGCTGCTGTGCAATTATTCTCTAAGCATCACCTTACCTGCCCCAGAGAGCGCACGCTGACCCTGCAGCACAACAGCAGACGCAGCAGCAGCAGCAGCAGCTCGGCGGACAGCAGCAGCGGCAGCTTCGCGCGCAGTTGCTTCTAAAGCAACCCCTTTTGAGGGTTTAGGGTTTAGGGTTTAGGGTTTGTTGCTGCAGGAGATTAAGAAGCCTATGAGGAGGTGAGGCCCCGGGTTTAGGGTATAGGGTTTGTTATGGAGGGTATGAGATGAGGTGAAGGGTTTAGGGTTTATGGAGGCCCTAGGGGTTAAGGGTTTAGAGTTTAGTGTCGGCTCAGGGTTTAGGGTTTCCAGTGGGTTGAGGGTTTAGCGTCTGGGGTTGTTTGCCGTAGGGCGTCAAGAAGCAAATGAGGAGATGTGGAGAAGGGCTGAGGGTTAAGGGTTTAGGGTTTAGGGTTTAGGGTTTGCTACTGTAAGACCGAGGGTTTCAAGTTCAGGGTTCAGCGTTCAGTGTCCAGTGTGCAGTGTCTGCTGTGCACCGCCCATCCTCCACCATTTACACTTCCGGTTGCTGTTTGCTGCCCACGGGGCGCGGCCGCGACTAGGGTTCAGGGTTTAGGGTTTAGGGTTTAGGGTTTAGGGTTTAGGGTTTGTCACTGCAGCGCGTCTGCGAAGTCCACCAGCAGGTGCGGGCTCCTCTCGCGGCGGCAAATCGCGTACAGACAAGCCCCGGCCACCAGCAGGCCTTTGCGGCCGACGCTGAAGTTGCGCTGCGAGGCCATCAAGTACAGCCGGTGCGCAGCAGCAACTTGCGAGCCCGACAGCCGCAGCCGCTCTGCAGCAGCAGCAGCAGCAGCAGCAGCAGCAGCGGGGGGTGGGGGGAGGGGGGGTGGGCGGCGAGGGGGGCGTGCGGCAGTTGTCGGGGAGGGAGGGGTCGGCATGCAGCGCTGCGGCGAGTGCTGCTGCTGCTGCTGCTGCTGC